AGGAATGCTTCTGCAAGGTTCAGCCTGAAATGTATCGGTTGTGCCCTTTCCCTGAGAAGTGCAGAGGCCCAGGCCCCAGCCCGCTGACCTATTTGTAAGTCAAAAGAGCTGTTCGAAGAAAATGGTAAACTTCAACAATTCAGTCCACCTTCAGATTATGGAGCCAAGAAGAAATGAATGGTACAAAAAGGGAATTTGGGAAAGGCAATAGTTTTTTTGTGTGGTTTTTGGTTTTTGGTTTCTTTGGCTGCGTCGAGTCTTAGTTGCGGCACGTGGGATCTTTGTTGAGGCACGCAGGATCTTTTTTGCTGCGGCGCGTGGGCACTTCGTCGGGGCGCGTGGGCTTCTCTCTAGCTGTGGTGTGCAGGTTTTCTCTCTCTAGTTGTGGCCCATGGGCTCTGCAGTTTGCGGCATGCGAGCTCTGTAGTTGTAGCACGGGGGCTTAGTTGTCCTGCGGCATGTGGGATCTTAGTTCCCCGACCAGGGCTCGAACCCACTTCTCCGGCATTGGCAGGCGGATTCCTTACCACTGCCCACCAGGGAAGTCCCAAGGCAATAGATTTTGAAGCAAAAGAATATTTCATATGTCAGTAGAATTTCCACACTGTCTCTTCAACACAAGAGAAGATGAAACGGCTTTCTGAGTTCATGTATTCTAAGACTTCCAAAGCTGATCCACAGGAGTCTGTAGGTGGCTTGCCTGAGAAACTAAATACTAAGATTATCAAAGCATCAGCCAAGGGCGGGAAAGATCTGCCAGTCAGTCCTAATGACTCTGTACTAAGATAGCGTTGCACCCGCTGCTTAGGCTTGAAAGCCAATTTCCTCAAGTGACTTCAACAGTAAGTTGTTGACCCACTTCGTGATGAAACTTCCAAAGACACCCACTAACAAGTAGCAACTTTGGGTTTAACTGGAGTAGAAGTGAACCAGCCACACCTTGTCACAGAGGCAGCGGTGACTTCGGATCACACTGCACCTGGTGAAATCGCCCTGTCCCCTCCAGCCCGCCCTGAGGGCACCCTGGGCACTTCTCTCCAGAGCCCTGGGAAGGAGCAGGCACTGGGAACGGCTGCACCCTATGTCTCTTCATGACCCCACGTCTCCCCCCATCCCCCCCATCACCCACTTGCACAGGGAATGTCCCGGCCAGCGCCCACATTGGTGGTGGGGGACGTCCATTTTACTTTAGGAGCATCTGCACAGCTTTAATTTTTATATGGAATATACACTATTTTCATTAAGAAGCAATAATAAATTTTTCTTTAGAGAAAGCATTTTTAACTACAACCTTGACCTCCCCACTGAGTTCCAAATTCACACATCCCACTCTCCTGTCTCCAGACATCTCAGAGCCGACAGAGCCCAAACCACCTCCCAGTGTGCCCCACACCATCAGCTCCCGTCAGCCCCCTCAGCCCCCCACTGCTGTGCCCACCTGTGCTCAGGGCAAGCACTGGAGGCCAGCCTGGGTCCCCTTCCTTCCTCACTGGCACCTCCAACCCAATGCCAAGGCCTGTTAGTGCAGCCTCGAAACACACCCCAAGAGCACCCTGACAGCACTCTTGCACCCCAGTAGCCCCCTATATCCGGACAGCATGCTGCACCATGACAGCACCCCTGCCTGCTCCACTGCTGAAACACTCTCTAAACCTTAGCAGATGCACTCCTGGAAGGCTGGCCCCGCACCGTGCAGGGACAGCAAGATGTCCACTGAGCTGACATCCCTGGCTGTGCGCAATCAGAGGAACTGAGGTTCCCACCAGGCTTCAAGGTACAGCCCAACCCTTGCCTCTCGCCCTCACATCCAGCCACATGGGCCTCCTGAAGCTTATGCAAATAGGACACGCTTAGTCCCACACAGCAGCTCAAGGTTGAAGGTCCTCTGCCTGACCCTCCCACGCAGGTCTCTCCTTGAGGGCGGGCGCGCACACACACTTACACACAGGCCCTGGCCTCTCTCCATACGCTTTACCCATTTTGTTTTCCTGACCTCCTCCCAGGTCTGTTTACCTGTCTGCTCTATGAGGGCTAGGAGCTCTGACTCCTCCGTGGGACCCCCAACTCCTAGCACAGAACTGGCACCAAGTACGCGCTTACGGTATTTTTGAAATTAACTCGCTATATCATCTTTGGATACACTATTCCGTGGTCGTTTTCAGTAGATGTAATGCCGTAAGCAAAGCCCCACCCCCACAAATAATACTAACAGTAATCATTAGGTCTCTGAGAGCCTGGAAATGAGGCGGACGACCCAGGCCGGGCCCGAGGGGAGGAGCGCTAGCCGGCGCCCGCGTTCGCGCCGCCGCCTGGCTGCCCAGCGTCACAGAGCTGGGCCTGGGGAGCGCGCGGCCCGCTCCGCTCCCTGCCCTCCGCCCGGCCCTGCGCAGGCTCGCCCGCCAGGCCCCGCCCCGCCCCGCCAGGCCCCGCCCCATCCGGCCCCGCCCCTCCGCCCGGTTCGGCGCCGCTCTGCCCCGCCGGCTCCCCGCGCCCCGCCAGCCATGGTGAACCTGGGCCTGTCCCAGGTGGACGACGCCGTGGCCAGCAAGCACCCGGTGAGAAGGCTGGCCTGGGACGCGGCCCCTGACCTCAGAAGCTGACCTGAGCGGGGCGGGGGCCTCGGTGGGAGTGGCCTTATCAGGGAAGAGAAGCGGGACAGAGGTGGGGGACCGTCTTGCTGTGGAGATCGAGGCATCCTGGGTGGGCATGGGGGCAGGTGGGATGTGTCCAGGGCCCCAGGGCCTCACGATGAGTGGTCCCCTCCCCCAGGGTCGGAGTGTGCCCAAAGGAGGGACGGGGAGCTGAGCCTTCAACCCCCTCCCCCATCCCAGGGACTCGGGGAGTATGCCGCGTGCCAGTCGAAAGCCTTCATGAAGGGCAGTTTCACCTTTGTCACAGGTAGGCTGGGTCCAGGTGTCTGTCCTGGGGTGTGAAGAGACCTCACCCTCCTGTCTCACCCTGACTCCCCAGCAGGTGGCGCCAGGTCGCCAGCCCGCAGTGCTCAGAGCCTGGCAGGTGTCGCGAGCACTTAGGCCGAGAGCCCCGTGGTCCCCTGGCAAGCCCCGTGGACGGGCTGGCTGATGCGGACCATGGCTCTTGGCAGGCACCGGTGCGACCGTCGGCCTGCAGATGCTCGTTCAGAGGAAGTTTCCGTACCCCTTTCAGTGGAACGTGCTGGTGGCCGTGGGTGGGTACTCCAGGACTGGTGCCTGGCGCCCCTGAAATGCACCCCCGTTGCCGCTGGCTCTTCAGCAGAAGTGGATCCCACTAGGGGTGGGGGGCTGTGGTTCTGGGAATCCCTGCCTCCGGGGATGGGGCTCCAGTTCTCAGTGGGAGCCCTGCTGGACCCCACCGCTCCCAGGAAGAAACCTGCACCCTGCTCCCTTCCCCTGACAAGTGCAGAGGCCCTGGCCCCCTGCCCACTGGCCCCTGCCCCCCTCTCCCCAGTCGCAGGCTCAGTGGCCAGCTACTGGGTGACCCGAGTGGAGTCGCAGAAATGCAGCAACCTCTGGCTCTTCCTGGAGACAGGGCAGCTCCCCAAAGACATGGACACAGGTGAGGGTCCCGGGGTCGGCAGGACTCGGAACCGAGGCTCCATTCCCCGGGTGTAGGCGGGACAGGCCTGTCCCCTTGACACGCGCATGGGGGTGGGGGCGGGAGGGAGGGGGCCTGTGGCAGACAGAACTTCCAGGCCCTTGTGCAGGAGGAAGACCCAGGAGGGGCTGGGGCCTCGGTGGGAGTGGCCTTATCAGGGAAGAGAAGCGGGACAGAGGTGGGGGACCGTCTTGCTGTGGAGATCGAGGCATCCTGGGTGGGCATGGGGGCAGGTGGGATGTGTCCAGGGCCCCAGGGCCTCACGATGAGTGGTCCCCTCCCCCAGGGTCGGAGTGTGCCCAAAGGAGGGACGGGGAGCTGAGCCTTCAACCCCCTCCCCCATCCCAGGGACTCGGGGAGTATGCCGCGTGCCAGTCGAAAGCCTTCATGAAGGGCAGTTTCACCTTTGTCACAGGTAGGCTGGGTCCAGGTGTCTGTCCTGGGGTGTGAAGAGACCTCACCCTCCTGTCTCACCCTGACTCCCCAGCAGGTGGCGCCAGGTCGCCAGCCCGCAGTGCTCAGAGCCTGGCAGGTGTCGCGAGCACTTAGGCCGAGAGCCCCGTGGTCCCCTGGCAAGCCCCGTGGACGGGCTGGCTGATGCGGACCATGGCTCTTGGCAGGCACCGGTGCGACCGTCGGCCTGCAGATGCTCGTTCAGAGGAAGTTTCCGTACCCCTTTCAGTGGAACGTGCTGGTGGCCGTGGGTGGGTACTCCAGGACTGGTGCCTGGCGCCCCTGAAATGCACCCCCGTTGCCGCTGGCTCTTCAGCAGAAGTGGATCCCACTAGGGGTGGGGGGCTGTGGTTCTGGGAATCCCTGCCTCCGGGGATGGGGCTCCAGTTCTCAGTGGGAGCCCTGCTGGACCCCACCGCTCCCAGGAAGAAACCTGCACCCTGCTCCCTTCCCCTGACAAGTGCAGAGGCCCTGGCCCCCTGCCCACTGGCCCCTGCCCCCCTCTCCCCAGTCGCAGGCTCAGTGGCCAGCTACTGGGTGACCCGAGTGGAGTCGCAGAAATGCAGCAACCTCTGGCTCTTCCTGGAGACAGGGCAGCTCCCCAAAGACATGGACACAGGTGAGGGTCCCGGGGTCGGCAGGACTCGGAACCGAGGCTCCATTCCCCGGGTGTAGGCGGGACAGGCCTGTCCCCTTGACACGCGCATGGGGGTGGGGGCGGGAGGGAGGGGGCCTGTGGCAGACAGAACTTCCAGGCCCTTGTGCAGGAGGAAGACCCAGGAGGGGCTGGGTGGCCCTGGGAGGGGCGAGTGCAGAGTGAGGAGGGTGGGCACCCCAAGAAGAGCGGCTGGATTGAGAGGCCCCGCATCGGACATCAAGCTGATTGATCTCAAGCCTGGCCTCCACTGCCTGCATCCCTCCTGTTACAGGCCTCAGTTTTTGCCCCGGTAAAATGGGCACAGGGACCGGGCACAGCTTTGGGGTGTGGTTCTAGCTGTCTCCCTTTGCCTCTTACAGATCGGCACAGCTAGGAGAGCTCCAGCCAGGGCACAGAGGACCTGGGGCCAGAGAGTTCTAGAACACAGCCCTCAGCACCTCTGCACCCCAGGCTAGCCTCCCCACACCCATGTCCCCTGCGCACATGCATGGCCAGCTCTGTCAGACCTGTGCAAACTGCTCCTGCCCAGCCTGGATGCCCAGAAGGTCAGACCAGGAGGTGCTGCCCCTGGGTGGCTGGCCTCCTGCAGGGCAGTGAGAAACGTGGTGGACACAGAGCTGGAGAAGACCAGGCCTGTCTCATGCACATTTGGGGGCGGCAGCTCCGTGGTGGGGGTTGGGCCTTCTGCACTTCCTGCTGCTGATACGCCCTTTCTGACCCCTGCATCCCCCCACCCACCCCAGTCAGAGCTGACAGCTGCCGCTGGGGGTTGTGGGACTAATAAACGCCTTTTCCTGTTTCCCGTTTCCCGCCTGAGTTCTAAAGCAGTTGGGAAACAAGTCAGCGCAGTAAGAAGATGAGAGAAAGGTCACCTCGGTACCACACAGCTAATTGGAGGAGGTGCCAGGGCAGTTCCTAACACTGAACCTCAGAACTAGACACTCTGGGCAGCCCCCGTGGGCCCTCCATGCGGGGGTGTGCTTCTGTAGCACCTGGCACAGAGAAGCAGAGCAGACGGTGTGCAGCCAGGCAGCACCTGGCTTCCGGGAGACAAGGGGCAGGAAGTGGCCGTGCCCACCTGCCTATCGTTCCAACCCCACCTATCAGATTGTCACTTCTCCCCTAGGGAGGAGGAAGTGAGTGGTTCAGGAGGCCAGAGTCAGCTTACTGGAGCTCTGTCCACATGGAGGAGTGTTCCTGGGTGGGCAAGACTGCCCACCTCACCCACCCCCAACAGAGGGAGAGGCAGAGATTATATAACACCTGGGCAAATCCATCGTCCTTTATAGCAGGCTTCCCGGTAACACTGAAGGCACACAGGGCCACGCTGCTCCAGCCCCAGCTCCGCCCCTGCCCCTGCTGACCTAGCCGGTCACGCAAAAGAACCTCTGCTGCACACTCACTATGCACCAGGGAATCTGTTGGTGGGAAGGCAAAATGACAGGAAGCCCAAGATAACCATGGCATAAGCAAGCTAGAGTTTTCATTTTCTTTCATGGAAAAGCTCAAGTGGGTGGTCTGGGGCTGTATGGACTCAGGGACCCAGGCTTCTTTTAGCGTGTTCCGTGCTGTAACGGCCCTCATTCCAAATCCACCTTATGGTCCCAGGCAGTTGTGCTGGCTCCGGCCATCAGGTCTTCATCCCTGTCAACAGGAAAGAGAAAGGGGGAGGAGGAGGGCAGTTCACTCACTTCTCTGAACACTGCATTGGTTAGAACTAAGTCATGTGGGACGCCTAGTGCAAAGGCACCTAGGAGGGCAGCTTGCTCTGGGCAGCCTCGTGCCCACTAAAATTCAGGGGTTCTCCATCTGAGGAAAGGAGAACCAGTATTGGGGCACAGGCTCTGCCTCACACCCAGGGAGAACACGGGCATCAAGGGAATAGACCCTGCCCACGGCAGGCCCTCCCAACCCCCTGAGGGAAAGACCTCGGCTCAGAGCAAGGGCAGAGGGTGAACTTTGAGTTTCAGAGGGGACTGGACTCACTTTTTAAAAACAGAGAGTGACCAGAAAAGTAAAGGATCTGTTTGAGAGGTCACAGAGAAAGATGGGTGCTGTAGCAGCGTATGGGTGAAGACTGTTGTTATGGCTGAACTGTGTCTCCCACAAACTCACGGTTTGCAGCCCTATAGCCCCCAGGACCTCAGAATGTGACTCTGCATTTGCAGACAGGACCTTTGAAGGGGTGATTAAGTTAAAATGGGGATGGGCCCTCATCCAGTCCGACTGGTGTGCTTATAAGAGAAGGTGATTAGGACACAGATGAGTACAGGGGAAAGACCCCACAAGGACACGGCCGTCTACAAGCCTGGGAGAGACGCCTCAGGAGAAACCAGCCCTGCCGACACCTCGGTCTCAGACTTCAAGCCTCCAGGATGTGAGACAATAAATTTCTGTTGTTGAAGCTGCCTGGTCTGTGGTGCTTTGTTAGCAAACTCATGCAGGTTGGAAGTAACCCATCTGATGTGCACCCCTGGAATCCCAGGCTTGGGCCACATGGCTGTCAGGGAAGCTTGTGCTGGGGGTGCAGAGGGAGGGGACTGACTCCTCCTGGAGTGAGTGACAGCTAAAGCTGGACCCAGGACTTCCCCAGGGAAGTGGGGGTGGAGCAGGGAAGGTCAGGGAGAGATGGGGTAGTCAGGGCCGAGGCTGGGGGTCTCACGAGCCAGGTCACCAGGGTTGGAGTTTGAACTTGGGGGGTAAGGGAATGGAGACCCTGTAGGCAGCGAGAGGTCAGAAGTTTTAGGAGGCTCAGTGGGGGACACTGGGGGTGTGGGGGGATGGGGAGGGTGCAGTGGTGCCACCGTGGGGTGCAGTGCCACTGCCAATCACCTCGGAGAGCAGCCACGAGACTCTTGTCCAGGAGAGCAACCCCGAGGCTGGCTGGGGGCAGAGGGTGGGGTCGTCGGGGTGGGCCAGGAATTCCCGGGTTCCCTGGGCGTTGAGAACCTCCGCCCCCGTCACAATGGGCTGAGATTCCAGGGGCGATCTGAACTGTGGCTCTGCGGGGCAGGCTCAGCACAGAGAGGGTGGGAGGTGCGGACGGGCCCCGGAGGGTGCCGTGGGCCGCCGTGAAGATCCGTAGTGAGGCGGAGCTGGAGGCAGATGCAGGAGCTGAAGGCTATCGCTCGCTCCAGGGTGCGGCGGACGCTGGGGTGACCCAGGGCCTCCGGGGCTCCTGGGGGCAGGACTTACGATCTTAACACACAGACGGTCCTGGGGGCCACTGTGCTGCTCACCCCCAAACAGAGCTGGGGGGAAGGGATCGGAGGGGTCCGCGCGTGGGGCAGGGGGGGGAGAAGCTGGTGGCCTCAAGGAGGTTTGTGGGCGCCGTGGCCTCGGGGCCAGAGGGGACGGGCGGGGACCCACCCACCTCTGTGGCTAGAGGCTCGGGAAGGAACCACAGGCCGGCCCATCCCTGGTTTGCACCCCGCCCTCCCCACCTCCCAGTACTGCTGTCCACTGAGAGCCGCCCAGATGAGCACTGCTGAGCAGCGAAGCTGGCCCCCACGCAGGCTGGGAGGAAGGAGCACGGCCTTGGAGACAGCAAACTCATGCCCCCACCTCTGTCCGCCCCGGCGTGGAGCCTACCCCACCCGGGAATCCCGGCCAGGCCCTTGGCCCTTGGCCTACACCCAGGCTGCCCTGTCCCTCCACACACAGCACTGTCGGGCGCTGCAGATCCAGGCAGTGAAGGAGACCACGTTCAAGAACAAGGCCTCGGGCTTCCCTGGTGGCGCAGTGGTTGAGAGTCCACCTGCCGATGCAAGAGACACGGGTTCGTGCCCGGTCCGGGAAGATCCCACGTGCCACGGAGCGGCTGGGCCCGTGAGCCGTGGCCGCTGAGCCTGCGCGTCCGGAGCCTGTGCTCCGCGGCGGGAGAGGCCACAGCGGTGAGAGGCCCGCGTACTGCAAAAAACACACAAAAACAAAAAAACAGAAAAAAAAGAACAAGCCCACGCTGGCTGTCCTGCGCAGCAACATTGGCCGCGGGTCCCACGAGTGGGCTTCGGCCAAGAAGGTGGACAGCGGGACCCTCCCTGCTACCTGCTGGCTGGGGGTGGGGGGCGGGGCACGTGCTGAGACAGCCCTTCCCCCAACACAGGTGGACAGCTGGCACCTCCTCTCCTTTCCCCACTCTAACCCCAACCATTCTGAAACTGGGTGGAGGGGGGCAGTTTCCCCACCACCCACCTCAGAAGGCAGGGCCAGGGGCCCGACAGAGGTCCCTTTCCTGGGCTACCCCCTGCAGCAGCCATATAGGGGAGCCAGGGACCCGCCTCTCTGGACCCCCATCACATCGGAGCAGGGATGGCCCGGATGGAGTCCTTCAGCGCTCTGCCCCTTGTGGCCCCAGGAGCTGGGGTCTTCCTGCTGGGCTAGCACAGGGTAGAGGAGACCCAGGGAGAATCCCTGGAGGGGCCGGCAGCGGGGTTGGGGGGAACGCAGAGGGGCCGAGCCCCCAGCTCAGCCGCCGCGCCCCACAGTATGACCAGCGGGCCATCTCCAAGGCCTGTGGGAAGGACGTGCCCATGAGCCTGGCGCACAGCCGCTGCACCATGGAGGTAAGGCAGCAGGGGGGACCCGTCAGCCCCGCCCAGCCAGTGCACCCCAACTAAACTAAGATGTGGAGCCGGCGGGGAGCAGAACGAGTTCCCAGCCCCAGCGTCCGTGTGGCGTTGCCACGGGTCCCTCCCCGCCCGCCCAGCTGCAGGCGCGCTCCGTGGCCCCTGAGCACCCACGCGCGGGCCATGCCCTCCCCGACCCAGGTGGCGCGGGAGAAGCCGCGCAAGTACGTCTTCGACCGCGTGAATATGCACAACGTGCTGACCCACCTGGTGCGGCGGCGCGAGCAGAAGCTGGAGAGCATGCAGCTGGAGCTGGCCAGCCTTAAGAACCAGCCCGAGGCCACCAAGGAGGAGCTGCGCATGCTGCAGGTGGCGGCGGGGAGCGGGGCGGGGCCTCCAGGGTGATGGGGGCGGGGCCACAGGAGGAGAGGGGCGGGGCTCTGTGGAAGTGCGGGGCTAGATGAATGAGGCCCCCTTGGAAGAAAGCCCAGCCTCGCCCCCGCCGGCCTCTGCACTCCCAGGTGGCCTGTCCCCACGCACTCTCAATGCGCCCTTCCTCCCCGCCCAGGTCATCTGTCAGCTGGAGAACAACACAGAAAAGACGATGGTCAAGATCACCACAAGCCAGAATACCCACCTGCTGTACGTGGACCTGCTGGACCACCTGAAAAAAGTGAGCCCCCTCAACCCACACCCGGAGACCGAGACCGCATCCCGGTCCCAGGGGGCCCAGCTGGCCAGGAAGGGCGGGAATCCCAGGCCCCAGCCTGTTCTCCGGGCTGGAATCTCGGCAGGGGCGCGCCCTCTGGGTTAGGCTGCCCCGCGGGCGAAGGATGAGCCCCGCTTTGGGTGCCAAGCCGAGCAGCGGCACCTTGTAGGTGGGAAACGTTCTTTCAAGAATTTATTTGCTACTCCAAAAAGGCATATCATGTGCTACATCAGAATTGTTTGTTTTTTGGTTTTTTATAAATTTAGTGATTTATTGACTTATTTATTTTTGGCTGCTTGGGTCTTCGTCGCTGCGCGCGGGCTTTCTCTAGTTGTGGCGAGCAGGGCTACTCTTCGTTGCGGTGTGCAGGCTTCTCATTGCAGTGGCTTCTCTTGTTGCGGAGCACAGGCTCTAGGCGCGCGGGCCTCAGTAGTTGTGGCTTCTGAGCTTCAGTAGTCGTGGGTCGCGGGCTCAGTAGTTGTGGCTCGCAGGCTCCAAAGGGCAGGCTCAGTAGCTGTGGCGCATG